CTTTGTTGGTAATATATAGAAATGCCAATGATTTATGTGGCTTGATTTTATAGCCTGCAACTCTGCTGAAGTTGTTTATTATTTCAAATATTTTTGTCCTTCATTCTCCAGGATTTTCTAAGTATATCATCATATCATCTGCAAAAAGTAATAGCTTTTTTCCTACTTTGCCTATTCTAATACCTTCAATTTCTTTTTCTTCTCTTACTGCTAAAGCTTATGTTTCCAGTATGATTTTGAACAACAGGGATGATAATGGACATCCTTGTTTCACTCCTGATCTTATTGGAAATGCTTCTAGCTTGTTCCTATTACATATGATGCTTGCTGAAGGTTTTAGATAAATGCTATTTATTATTTTAAGGAAGACTCCATTTATTCCTGTCCTCTCTAGTGTTTTAATAGGAATGGATGTTGTATTTTGTCAAAAGCTTTTTCTGCATCTATTGAGATGATCATGTGGTTTCTGTTAGTTTTGTTGTCGATATGCTCAATGATGCTGAAAGTTTTCCTAATATTGAACCAGCCCTGCATTCCTGGCATAAATAAATCCTACCTGGTCATGGTGCATTATTCTAGTGATAAGTTACTACAATCTATTTCTTAATATTGTATTTAAAATTTTTGCTTCTATATTCATTAGGAAATTGTTCTATAATTTTCTTTCTCTGTTTGAACTCTCCACAGTTTAAGCATCAGCACCATATTTGTATCATAAAAAGAATTTTGTAAGACTCCTTCTTCACCAGTTTTCCAAAATAGTCTATATAATATTGGAATTAATTGTTCTTTGAATGTTTAATAGAATTTGCATGTAAATCCGTCTGGCCCTGGAGATTTTTTCCTAGAGAGTTCATGAATGGCTTGTTCAATTTCTTTTTCTGAGATGGGGTTATTTAAGTATTTTGCTTCCTTTTCTGTTAATCTGGGCAATTTACATTTTTGTAAATATTTATCCATTTCACTAAGATTGTCAAATTTATTGACACACAGTTGGGCAAAATAGTTCCTAATTATTGTTTTAATTACCTCTTCCTTGGTGGTTGATTTACTCTTTTCATTCTTGATACTGGTAATTTGGTTTTCTTCCTTTTTTTTTTAAATAAATTAACCAAAAGTTTATCTATTTTATTGTGTTTTTTTTTCATAAAACCAGCTCTTAGTTTTATTTATTAGTTCAATGGTTTTCTTAATTTCAATTTTCTTAATTTCTCCTTTGGTTTTCAATATTTCTAATTTGGTGTTTAATTGAGGATTTTTAAATTGTTCTTTTTCTAGTTATTTTTTAGGTGTATGCCCAATTCATTGATCTCCTCTTCTTCAATTTTATTCATGTAAACATTTAGAGATATGTGGATGGTACAGTGACAGTTGGTGGAGAATCTCTGTTTTCTTGATGTTACATGTCAGGGCAAAATTAGCACAAGCATAAGAGAATCAATCCATATTCTACTGCATTTCAGCTTCAGAAGCTGTTTTGAATGCACAATTATCTGCAAACAAAAGGCCTCGCACCAATTCTCTCACCACTTTAGTTTTGGCTTGTAGCCTTTTTAAATTAAATAATTTACTTTCTAAATAAACAGTGCATTGGCAGACCTTGATGCCATTTTCATCCCTGTTGAAGGTGTCTGACAACATCACCGAAAACATTGTGCTAAAAAGCTTGGGAGTGGCTTAGATTCTTAAGGTCAGGCCCTCTTGCATTAGTGATACAAATGCTTAGATTCCTTAAGAGTCTGGCCAATGTGGCTGATTTTTAAAAAACCTTGTCTTTGGCTGAAAGAAGGCTTGTGTGGAATGCATTTGGGCAGGACCAACGTGTTGTAATTTTGGGGTCCTAGGACCCCTAAACCTCTAAGCCTCAACATTTTGGTGGCCTGTACAGGGAAGCTGCCTAACCCCACGCTTTTCTCCAGCCAAGATTGGAAGGTATGTAAGCCTCCTCCCTCTTTCTTGCCCTGCCGTTGAGGTCACTTTCCAAACACCTAGGAAGCGTTGGAGGCGCTTTTTGGGCATAGTTACAAGGATGTCTCAAACTCAGCTTGACCCCTTCAGGCTCTTGGTCCGATGGTTGGGTTTGAGGCCATGGACCTAGGTACACCTTCCTATCTGGAAGCATATGCCCAATTCTGTCAGTTCTCCTGGCTCCAGGAACTGGAGCAACTGCAGGGGTTTTTTGGTTCCATGAGGCTTATTTTGTCCCTTCTCTCTACACCCCTGGAACTTCCTTCAAGGCTTGTGATTGTCTGATGGATTATAATAATCAATCAATAATCAATAATCTACCATTTGAGAGAAATGCCACAAGCTGCTCAGGTAGAATGTGATACTGGGGGGAGTCAGTACTGGGAAAACTGAGAGGACAGTTTTAGCGCCGGTCTAAGATGAGACCCTCCTGGCCCAATTTCCCCATTATGTTCCTTTGAGAAGGAATACTACTCACTTGGCTGTTCCTGAGTCTGGCTGTGAGGTGAATTCGATACTGCATGGTTAGCAAATTTCTATAGTCAAATCAAATAGGCAGCAAAAGATATAAGCACAATGCAAGTGTGTGAACTCTTGCTGTTTTGATCTGAATGTGCAGTCATTCATTACCCCCAAACAACTGAAATAAAGTAAGAAATATCTTCAGTTTTGTTTGGAGAGGAAAATTTCAGTGATAATTGAAGTGAAAGTCAGTTTCTTGGCAAATTCATTTGTTAAACTATTGAGCCTGGAGTGGAAAACTTCTACCTGCAAAAGTGTTACTTAAACTTTTGAAAAAGTAACAAGACCAGATAATCTTGCAGGTCAAATGTAAATGATCTTAATGAGGCTCTTACACTTTTACTTCTCCCTATATCTGGGCCCTGCAGTCTTTTCTGTCAGATTTATGTCTTCCAGACAATAGGTCATTCACCTAAAATTGGTAGCAAACAGTGGGTACCAGCCAATGTCCCTCCATCATCCCCTGGATTCAGCCTGTGCTTGGTTCCAGCCAACCTCCTCCTCGGGACCCCCTCGAGGCAGGGACAGTTCTATGCCCCTTGCCAGCAGGAAGCAGTTTCAGAAGCCAAGATGTTCACCCCTTCCTCAAAAGGAATTTGGGACCCATTTGTTTGAGGGAGGAATTATGGGGATGGTATCTGAACCCTTAAAAGTAAAAGACTATGTCTTTGGGATCTGGACCCCCAAAAGGAAAAGCCCTGCATTTTCTCACATGGCCAAATCTCTGGTGTTCACCTGAGGCTATAATCCTATCAACTGGCCTTTCATTATCACCTATGCCCAATCTCCCAATTCTCTGTTACCCTTAACCTAGCCTAGACCTTCATTGTTTTACCTCCTCATTGCCCCTAGCCACTTCCCACTCTTAATCCTATCTAGTCTCTTTTCTTCCTGGTACTGTGTTACCTCATAGTCATGCCAATTTACTGGCCACTCCCATTCAGATCCTCTTTAGACCTTTCCTCCAGTCACCCAAGACTACTTGGGCACTCCTAGATCAGTCCCACAGTCTTTCTATATATAAGGCCCATCTGGCCTCCATTAAGGTGCTCAAATTCTTAAGATCTGGCCTGCTTCCATAAACCATACAAATGCTTACATTCCTTAAAAGTCTGGTCAATATGGAGGATTCTTTAAATCTTACCCACCCCCAATTAACGTTCTAGAAAAACCTTGTCTTTGGCTAAAAAAAAGAAAAATAATAAAAAGCTTGGGAGCAAGCACAAAGCCATTGTATTGACCTCATTGTATGCCTGAGAAACTTGGACAGTTTACCAGTGCCATGCCAGAAAGTTAAACTTTTTCCATTTAAATTGTCTTAGGAGGATTTTGAAATTATCTGGGAAGATAAGATATGGGAAAATGAGGTCCTTTCCTGAATTCAACTGCCAAGCATCCACACCCAGCCATGGGTTTAGGAAGTGAAAAGTTGAGTAAGGGAATGGTGTCTAATATTATATTTATAATAAATCAGTTGGTTTGTAAGTAGGTGATAACTTCTACTAGTTGGCTGTAGTTCTACTTGGGTCAAAATCCAAGTTCAGATTCTTGATTCTGTGATACCTGGATATATAATTTCACCTCTCTAAACCTATTCCTTTATCTCTAAAGAGAGGGGGAAATAGCCCTTGAATCCACACCTCCAAAGGTTACTACAAAAAAAATACTTTGGAAAACAAGACACTAGATAAATGTTATTATTATCATCTTTTTTCTATACAATAACTGTGCACATAACTCAACAAAAAGATAGTGGTTAACAAATATTTTCTGCTTTCCTGCCTGATGCTAAGTCTATCTCTTTATAGTAGAATTGATATGGGGTCCTGCTTTGTCTCAGTTACCATGAAAACTGAAAGAAAGGTGTTTCTTTTGAGTATGAACTACCCAGATTAGGGGCTTATTAAACTGCAATTCATTTATAATTTTCAAAACTGAATGTGACTTACCAGAAATACCCAGGGTGAGCTTGACTTTATAAACAATTGGTGGTAACATCAATATTCAGTATGGTGGGAAATGATGAAAGTGAAGCATGATCTCTATATTTAGGGTTTTATTACATTCCCCATGATGTACATCATTGGGTGAGGCTCATCATACACAGCTCGTGTGTTTGGAAACAAAATAGTCTGAGACATGAGGAAGAAATATTAAAAGATAACCTCTCCCTATTTGCATGTTAACATAGGACTGTAATCCTTTCTATGGTCACCTTTCTAGAGAAAATAGAAATGCCACAGAGAGAGAGAGTGTCTTGGCTGAGCAGATTTAGCTGAGCTGTTGGGGAGGCACAGAGGATATCTTCATGCAGATATTCAAACAGAGGACTACATGTTTTGTTGTCTACGGCAGAAAACTTATTAAAAACAGAAGAAAATTATTGCATCACCTACTATCAGAAGGACATATTATTTCACACTCATTTTCCTGGAAAATAGTCCAATAGCAGGAGCACCAAAAGTATTATAAATATTGGTAATTACTTAAGTGATCTCCTTTCTGCTGCCATGCTAAGTAGTGGGGAGACGATCTTTATGGTTCTGGCAAGTGCTGAATTCCTATTGGGCATTCTGTTAAATGGATTCATCATTTTGGTAAATTGCATTGACTGGGTCAAGAGCAAGAAATTGCCATCAAGTGATGTCATCCTGCTCAGTTTGGCAATCTCCAGAATTGGATTATCATGTACAATGGTATGGGATAGCTATTTAATTGTTACCTCTATTAATTTACCCACCCAAGTAAGAATGATTGACATCTTCTTGGCACTGACTCATGGTTCAAATATTTGGTTTACTGCTCTTCTCAGCATCTTCTGCTTCCTGAAGATCACCAACTTCTCTAATCCATTCTTCCTCTGGATGAAATGGAGAATTGACAGGACGGTCGTCATGCCTCTTATGGGGCCCTTGATTATCTATTTTTCCATAGGCTTTCCCATGATGGAGAGAATATATTATTACCATGGCAGCCTCTTTAATAGAGGAAGGGAGAGAAATGTGTCCCAGGAGGTCCAAGAGAGCAAAAGTATGTACCTCATGTTACAGATTGCCTTTGGCCTTATGATTCTTATTCCTTTTACTCTGTCTGCAGTGTCCTTCTCCCTATTTGTTCTCTCCCTGTGGAGGCATACTCGACAGATGCGACTCAATGCCACAGGTCAGAGAGACCCTAGCACAGAAGCCCATGTTCGAGCCATGAAAGCTGTGTCTTCCTTCCTGATTCTCATTTTGTTGTACTATGTGGCTTTCTTTGTCAGCTACTGGAGCAACTCAAAGGACAATTATAAGCTGACTTCTATGTTGGGTACATCAATCATGTTGCTCTATCCCTTTGGCCACTCATTGATCCTGATTCTGTGGAACAGCAAGCTGAGAAAGGCTGCTCTGAGGGTGTCATGGCTGATGAGGTGCTGCTAGAGGGAATGTCATCTACAAGCCCCTTGGGTACCCCTAAGGATCATCTGGCATTTTCTAGGGAGGAAGAAGTCACATTGGAGTCATTAAAGAAATTTACCAAGCTCTTTCATTCTTGGTAGTAGCAAGACCACTGAACTCTGATTCAAAACAATGACTTGGAGTCAGGAAGACTTTGGTGCAATACCCAACTTTGTCACTTACTACCTGTGTGACTATAGGCAGCTCCATTAAGCTCTGTGACCCTTAGAATTCTCATTTGAGGAATGATGATAAATCTAGCCTCAACCTCAAACATTGTATTCCAATGCTAACTCCACCTTTGGGCTGCTGATGGGCAAAGGAATGAGCATTGTGACTAGCTCAAATCAGGTCCAGTACACCCAGCCCAGCCCAGCTCAGCCATCATTATGACATACTTCTGTGTATTCCCCTTTCCCTTTGACCATCTCTTGGCCTTTAGTTGGGGAACAGCAGTCTTATCAACATTAGCACTCTAGCCTTCCTGGAGATGACATAACAATCAATTACCCAGTGATATCAGTCACCATCTCTGTAGCTTCCTTGAGAAAACCACACTTCCTTTGTGAGATTCACCTATATGTACTCCCTGCCCTGTGATGATGTAAGCACCTTGAGGATAAGGACTATCTTCAATTTAGTTTTTGAATATCTGACACTTCGCAGAGTTCCTGACATATTACTCTTTCCATTTTTAAATGAAATTTTATTTTATTTTCAAATCAACATTGTTTCTCTCCTACTTCACCGTATTGCTCCCTAATAAGAAAATAAGAAAAAAAAACTCCAATTACAAACATGTATAGTTAAGCAAAATAAATTCCTGAATTAGCCAGGTACAAAAATGTCTAATTCTTTACCCTGAGTCCTTCACCTCTTTATCAGATGGTGGGCAGTGTATTTATTGAGTTCTCAGGAATTATGGTTGGGTATTGTGTTGCTCAAGAGTTTCTAAAATTTCAGAGTTGTTTGCCTTTTTAATATTACTGTTAGTACATAATGGTCTTAATGAATGCTTCTGCATTATTTCTTTCATTCATTAATACATTCAAGGCAACTTGGAAGTTGATGCTACTCAGGAAGTCTCCCTTCCTAGAAAGAAGGTTGGATTCCAGTGGCATCAAACATAGTGAGTTCTAAATCCCTCTTGCTCATCACAAGAGTTTGGCTTCAGGATCATGTCCCATGAACTTCTCTCCTAAACCATGTGAAGGCATGTCTACCTTTGACGTGTGCTTCTGCTGCAAGTCACCATCAAGCGCCCTTTATATGGAGTGAGGTGGGAGCTCTCTTCCTCACATGCATACTACACTCTGGAGAAAGAATTGAGGCAGAGGAAGCTCTGAAAAGGAAGAAAGGGCAAAAAATGGATGGGAAGTTCTCAAAGCTCACTTTCATATAATAGAGAAGCAGCAATGGTGCTCCTGAATGGGAGTCTGACACCTTGAGTCTCAGTCTATCATTCTGGGTTCCCCAGGTGGGGTAAGTAAGCACCAGTGGCCATATACACATTTCATGGAGGAGGAGCCCATTGAATGGCTCTCAAGGTCCCAACTATGCAACCTCATCCAGTTTATTGGAGCACTCACCAGGCTGGTCAGAGGCTCCCAGGTGTCAAATATTTTTCAACTCTTTAGAAAATGCAATTGGCATACAAGCTACTATTGTTGTTCTACTTGTGGCTGCCACTATTTGAAGGGACATTTTTTTTTCTTCTGCTAAAGGGCTAAGGGAGAGTAAGAGATCACCTTGGTGTCATGGACCAAGCAGTTTTTTTTTTAAAGTGAGGCAACTTTTCTGAGGTATTCTCTCTTACTTTTCCAGTGTTTGAGAAAGTAGCATGCACTTCATCTGGATCAGAGGAACATGGTGGCACTCAGACCAGGACACAGGGGGTCACAAGTCCCTAGAATCCTATCCTGAGATTCCACAGAAGGCCAAGAAAATCCAGTGTGCAGAAACTTAAAGAATGTGATGATACTAGTCTTTGAAGGTGGAGGTCAATTCAGGAACCCAGAAGGCTTAGAAGGAGTAAGAGAATAACCAGTTAAGATGAAAGGAGAAAGACAGAAAGATGAAATAGAAGAATTTGGAATACAAAATTTGGAGAACGACTAGGTGGTGCAGTAGATATAGCACAGAGCCTGGAGACAAGAAGACCTGAGTTCAAATCTGGACTCAAATACTTAATGTCTAAATGACCCTGGGCAAGTAACTTAGCCCTGTTTGCCTCCGATTCTTTTCCATAAAATGAGCTGGAGAAGGAAATGGCAAAACATTCTAATAACTTTGCCTAGAAAATGCTAAATGATTGAAAAGACTGAACAAAAACAAAAACTGAGATACAAATCACAGGCTTGAGAGAGGTACAACAGTGTAGTGATGGAGAAACTTCAATTACCAAACATTGCCTGGAGCTCTCCTTCTGCTAATTTCATTTTTTAAAAGACAGAGGAATCAATAAAGTGGCATTCTACTCTGGATTTAATTCTCACTATCCTCACTGAGAGGAATTGGCTTCTGTTGTAGAAATGGTGGGAACTTTGTGTGAAAGTGACCCATCCATCATAGAATTTGTGATCCAGAAGAATAAGAAATCTAGATAAGCACCCTAGATTTTTGGAGGGCAGATTTCAAAGGATTCAGAGGAGAGATAGATAGGTGCCATGGACTAAAATACTTCAAAGGAAATTAGCCCAAAAATGATGGGTTATGCTCAAGAATCAAATTTTGAAGAGACAAAGGGAAGTAATTCCAGAAAAGAGTAATGTGGATGCACATGGAATTCTGTTATTTCAAAGCCCTTTCATAACCTAGCTGCCTCCTACCTTTCCAGTCTTACAACTTATTCTACAAAAAGGACTTTTCAATGCAATGACACTGGCCTCCTGGCTTTTCCATGAACAAGACCTTCCATCTCTCACCTCTGAGCATTTTCTCTGGCTGTCCCCCACGCCTGGAACATTCCTCCTCCACTACTCTGCCTACTCACCTCCCTTTCTTTCTTTAATTCCACCTTCTAAAATCCCACCTTCTACAGGAAGCCTTCCTTCTCTTCATAATTTTGTATTTCTCTTGTAAATAGCTTATTTTGTATATAGTTGTTTGCATATTGTCTCCCCCATTAGATTGTAAGCTACTTGAGGGCAGTGGCAATTTTTTGCTAGCCCTAGTGCTTAGTACAGTTCCTGGTACATAATAGGTGTTTAATAAGTGTTTATTTATTTACTGAAATTTTCAAAAAAAAAAAGGAAGGTTATGGAAGCAAGTCCAGATGGGAGAGACAATATGAATATGACACAGCGGAATCAAAAAAAAAAATATTGGGGGAATACTGAAGCCCAGAAAAAGCAAATGCTGGTGAAGGAAGTTAAGCACCACAAAAAGATTGTTTGTTAGTTTTTGTAAACTACCTTGGGAGAAAAAGGAGGATCAAAGAAGGCATAAGGCCATTGCATGGAATTGGGGTGTATGTCAAGGATAACTAAGGCCAGAGAAAAGGCAGAGCCACTCAGAGTCATAGGGGGAGGAAGAAAAGAAGCCAGTATTGGATTCATGTTGGGGAAAGGGCCCTAACAATGAGAGTGGGGCTACTTGGAGAGGAGCTGGGTGCTGACTGCTTGGCTGTCTCCAAATAGATGCTGGACAGACAACCTAGCTCTCAGGTAGCTTGAACTGGGATTTCTTGGGGGATATGGGTTAAATGAAAAGGCTGTTGAGGTCCCTTCCATCTATGATGTTCTGTGGTTCTGTGGTAGTGTTGCAGCTAAGCTGGCCTAGGAATGTTGTCCTTTGTAAACCCTTTTTGGGATTAACTAACTTTGCAAATTTCCAGGGTCACCAATCAAACAAAGGCAGAGACTTGAGGCTCAGAACTCAAGGCTTTTGGATCAGAAGATGCAAAAGAATGACAGATTATCTTTCCATGGTTGGCCTATTCTTCCTCAAACTAATTTGTATTCATGCAACACAGATTCTGTCCACAATTGACAATACAAACAATGAAGGAAAAAATGAAATATGGGAATGAAAATTTAATCTCTTCATTGCCAGCAGCCACATCTTCATCATAATGGGTCCTGACACAAGAGAAGTAGAGGAGTAGTGATGGGAGAGCACAGAACGGGAAATTCCTCCCTCCAAACAGGGGTCAGATAGACATGAATATCTGGTTCGTAGTAGAAAGTCAACAAACATTTCAATAAAGATGACAAAAAACGAAAATCAAAAATGTTGCAGCTGTTCAGTTATTTCAGACTCTTCATGACCCCGTTTGGGGTTTTCTTAGCACAGGGTGATTCATCATTTCCTTCTCCAGATCAATTGAAAGATCAGGAAACTGAGGAAAACAATGTTAAGTGACTTGTCCAGAGACACACAGCTAGTAAGTGTCTGAGACCAGATTTGGTGTCATTAAGATGAATCTTCCTGACTCCAGGCCTGGTATTCTATCCATCATGCCACCTAGTTGCTCTAAAGTTGCATTAGTTGAGGGAAATAAGTACTTTGTTACATTACTGATAGAAATTATTCCAGCCATTCTGGAAAGCAATTTGCATCTATGACCAAAAAGTTGCTAAGCCTGAGTACCTCTTGTCCCAGCCATACCATGAGTAGGTCTGTAATCCAAAGAGATCAAAGAAAGAAAAACAAAAGAGGTATGAGTATTAAAATATTTATAACAGCCATTGTTTGGACTAGAAAGGAATTGGCAACTAAGGGAGTGCCCACATGCTAGGGGATGACTTCACAAAATTGGGCATATGAATGTAATGGATATTGTTGTCCCATAAGAAATTATGAAAGTGACATTTTCAGTCCTGGGAAGACTTGCAAGAATTGATGGAGAATTAAGTGAGCAGAACAAGGAGAGTTTAAAAATAATAACAAAATTACAAATAAAAACAAATGAAAGCTTTAGAACTCCAGTGATAACAATGATCAATCACAAGTCCTGATCACCTCCTGTTAGATAATGGATT